CTACAGTTGAAGCCAATGTCTGTAATAAACGTGATGCTCACTGTCATAGTAATGATGCGTACATGGTTACTCCGCTTATGATCAATAAGCTTATTGATAAATTTCCATTTGGAAAAGCTGCCAGGTTACTGTTTTACTGATGAGCATTTTATAGATGATCCATGGATGTGTACCTGATCTGGATTGGATACTGTCTAACACTCCAGAATCAAACGGACAGGTTGATGTGTTTACTACAGCTTGTTAGTCATGTTTGTTTCCAATATCTTTAAGATGACCTATAACAGCTTCATTGAATTTCTTTATTTATTAAATTTGAGTAATGCACTCTGGGAGTGAGTTCCAATCAATAATAGTGCGTTGGAAGTAAGGAAATGTATTCCAGTTTTTGTTGGTAGATAGCATTACATATGCGTTGGAGTGGTGATAGTGTTATTGGCGCCGGACAGGCTGAAGGAGGTTTCCAATTGAATAAAATATTCAATTTATATAAATGAGAAATAACAACGGGCCAAGCATCGTGCCCTGGGGGACGCCCAAAACCACATTGCCCAGGCCGAATGCTCACCACCAATTACGACCCTCTGAGATCCGTGCTTGAGAAAATTGGATATCCACCTGAGTGTTTGGCCTTTAATGCCTAAACGGTTAAGTTTAAGTAGGAGTCGATTGTGTGGGACGCTGTTGAAAGCTTTGGAAAAATCCATTATGGTCATAGTAATTTGAGATTTCTTACAAAGATATTTCGAGAGGTCATGGATGGTAAGGATTAATTTATTCTCACAAAGTGTTAATTCTAAAACCATGCTGTCTGTCGGTCAATATAGAGTATTTATGAAAATGAGATATTGTAATATTTGGAAAATAATTGACAAAGCCGGGGCTATCTCTTTAGCTGCAGGCTTAATGATCCTAGCGGGGATATTATCTCGCCCAGCTGCTTTATTTGGATCCAGATCGTGCAACAGTTTAGTGACGCATTCAATTGAAATTTTAATTTTAGGTATGGTGGGAGTATTAAGCCCGGCCAAACAAGGAAGTTGGGGATTTTCTTTAGTGAACACGGACCTAAAATGCTCGTTTAAAATTTCAGCTTTAACCCTGTTGTCGGACTCCAATTTAGCATCTTTTTTTATCAAGATGGGTTTACCTACAGTGTCAACCTTTATTTATTTATTTTTTTGGCGAGTCAGAAACCATATCATTGACATATCTATTATAAGCAGATCTTGATTTTTTTAAAACAGTTTTACGTGCCTTGCGAAAATTCTCATAACTCGCTTCATCTCTGTGTTTGGTAGAATAATGATGGTCTGACCAAGGTTGTACTTTCACCAATTGTCATGTACACTGGTGATGTGACTGATAAAAGCAAATATAGGCCCATAGCTCTTGCTAGTATTAGTTTGAAATTTATAGAGTCAATTCTTATTGATTTCTGTGGGGATTCACTTAAAACTGACGATTGTCAATTTGCTTTTAAACCTGGCCATTCAACAGTGATCTCTGTATTGTTGTTTTAAAGCAAGTTGTAGAGTACTATCAAAATCATGGTAGCTCCGTTTATTGCTGTTTCCTTGATGCATCTAAAACATTTCAAGGGACTATGTTTATGGTCCTGATTAATAGAAGTGTTTTAATCAAAACAGTTAAGGTTCTTTGAAATTGGTATGGCAATCAATAATTTTTTGTTAGGTGAGGAAATAGTATTTTCTGCTATTTTCAGTCATCAATGGTGTGCGTTAGGGAGGTGTTATGTCGCCACTATTATACAACTTATATATTGATAATATTAATCTGCAAATTAGAATGACTAATAATGGTTGTTATATTAATGATGTTATGATTAATTATCTTAGTTATGCTGATGACATGGTCCTAATAGATCAACTGTTATTAGACTTCAGAGTCTTATAAATGTTTGTGAGGTATTTGCAATTGATCGAGATATATTGTAAACTCTGAAAAATCTAAGTGTGTGTGTTTATGTCCACGAACACAATTTTTTTTGTTTAGTATTATATTAAATGGTTCTAATATAAAATTTGTTGAGTCAATAACGTAGGTCAAATTTAGTGAGGCTACTTTGAATAAATTATATTTATAAATTATATTTATGTTTTAATAATGCTTTACGTAAATTATTGGAGTTACCAATTAACAAAAGCGCGAAGTATGATGTTTTTTGACTAATAACGTTTTTTTTTATGAATATTGGAAAAACTCTATACACAGTTTTGTAAGTAGACTTTGTGCTAGCTCTAACGGTATAATCAAAATTATTGTTGACTCTGCTCTTTGTCACTCACAACTTCATCAGAGATGGTGTAAACTAATTTGTAATTTGTAAATATTGTCTGTTTTGAGAAATATGCAGTTGTATACATTTATCACTTGCCTAATATGTGCTTTTTTGTTATATGAATATTCATATCTGAACTAAAGAAATTAATGAATATATATGTATATATATATATAAATGTGTGTATATAATATGTATATATATATATATATATATGTATAAGTATATATACATGGCACGAAGATGGTAGTTCTAAACAAGCTATTATAATGAAATTGCCAAATTGTACTGCACAGATTTGCAAATTCTAGAAGCCATAATTATATAATGTTCATGTTTTAATTGATAATTAAAGTGTTTGGTATTATCAAGAAATGAGACGCAACGTTGGTGAGATCATCTGTATAATCGCTAAAATAACTCAACAGGGCCGTCGGGTCGCACCGGCTTCGGCCGCACACCTTTTTTCAATTCTATTACTTTTTTTTAAAAATAAATATTGATTTATACCTTTGAATTATGTAAATTCATTAATAATTGTTTTCTTTGTAATGTTTTATGCCTACAGTATTAAAAAAAAAAGAAACATCATTAGCTTGTTTTGTATTCCATGTACATTTCAACATTTTTGACAATCCTGAATTTTAGTAAATAAGATTGGTTTTAACAATTTTTAGAGATATATATTAATGTAAACCCCTAAAAATGTTGGGGTTTGAGTCGGCCAATATTGTCATCACCACACAAAGGTATACGGGTCAAGCCGGCCCTGATTTACTTGCAATTAAAATTTAAACCCCAAAGTGATGGACATTCATATTTTGAAATATACATGTGCTGTGCTATTTCTCTGCAGGGGAACTATTTTTAATCCTTGGTAAAGCTTGGATGGATATGGTATTTATACTAGTCCACTTTCACTAATTTTAAACATTGTATGTGCCCCTGTATTGCGTTGGAACAGAGGTAGCTGCTTTACAGTTTGCCAGCTGCTATTTTGCCATATTTTCTAAATTTTTTCACATCAGGCCCTCCATGGTAGGGCTGAGGTAGGTACGAATTCTATAATCTGCCCCTTGAGCGTGAGGAGTTGCAATTGCCAGCTGCTATTATCGGGCATCAGAAAATTATACTTTTAGACCCAAATCTTAGGGATTGGCAATCACAATAACGCTGATTGGATTTGAAAAACAATATTCCTACGACCCCATCGTGGCGTCGGACGAGGTGTGTGTGTGTGTGTGTTGAGGGAGGGGAGGGGGTTGGATCCAACAAAATCATCAATTCCAATGCGATGCAAAGCAATGATAACTAAATTAAATATGCTGTTGGGTATACGCTACAACCAGAACCACCACATTTTTGTCCGGTTTTTTTCAGTCCAAAGATCTCAGTCTGAGGATCGCTTTGCTCTTGGGAAGTATTACTATTAAAGACTAAATACAGAAACCAAAAGAAAATACCAAATAGAAACTGCTGATTGCTTTTGTTCCTGCACTCTGGTCGGGGCCCCTTTTCCTTTATTCCGATCCAGGTTGAAATCACTTCAGTCTGCATTAGTATCTCCAAAACTTAAATCTTGTCACACCTATGTCAACATCATTGCTATCGTAATTATAATGGTCGTCTTTATCGTCCTCGACACCATCATCATCGCCATCGCCAACATCACCACCATTATCACCGAGATGCAATAGACCTTTCCGGAGTGTCAATCAAACTTCACAACTGACTAATCAGAACAACGCTAGGAATACGCACGCGTCTTACAAACACACGTGTTGTCTGAAAATCATGAAGTCTTGTCAAGCTTGCCATCACATTTAACAAAGGGCTCTTCAAGTGGCACTGAACTGTCAAAGTTATCTACTAAAGGACCCTCTCTACCACCAATTAAAGGACCAGTTTTTCGTCCCAGAGTTTCTGCAGCATCGTTACCTAAGGGACCATTGTTGCCTTCAGGCTATAATGATGAGGTAGAAGAAGAGGATGAAGATGAGGAGGAAGAAAGAAAACCAATGTTGTACACAAAAAAGACTAAGGTGACAGAAGAAGCTACAGACGAAGATATTAGTGACTGGGTTCCACCCAAAGGTAACCAGAAGTTTATTCATCATCATCATCACCATCGGTGTCGGTATCGTCATCATCATCATTAACATCATTATCATCATCAACATCGTGGTCTCCATTCTGTTACATCTTTTTCTCCTCTATAGACCTTTCCATTGTGTCAATCAAACTTATCAGCTGACCAATCAAAACAGCGCTAGGGATACGCGCGCATCTCACAAACACACGTGTTGTCCCACAAACCCACGTGTTCGCGTATGTTTTAACACTGCCGTCTTGTGGGGCCTTAGCAACAAAATCCAAGGGGCGGAGCTTAGCGGAAAGGTCCATTATCACCGTTATAGTTATCATCCTCTCATCATAATCATCCTCTCATTATCATCATCATCATCATTATTATCATTATCATCATCAGGCCAAAAAAATTGTTTCCTCTCCTCCACCCGCACCTAACTCGCTGAAAAAATAGCGCGGAAAAAAAAAGTTTCTCCTTTAGATTTTTGCTTTACAAATAAAAAAAATGTGAGTGAATTTATCTTTATTTTTTGCCAGATGCCCTACAAATTAGTCTGAAGTCATTGTCTGATGTAAGATATTGCCATTCTAGGTTATTTTTTGTGGGTTATTTTTTTATTCCATCTGATGAGTACTATAAAAAAAACCAAAAAACTTTTTCCACCCGCCCCTATTTATCATTTTTTTTTTAAATAGAAGGGAAAACAATTTATTTTGCGTCCCTCCATCATTTATCAAAAAAACCTGGATCGTTCTTCAATCTTAGTGCTCTATTAGGTATGCCTATGCCTTTATCACCTGGTGAATCTGCCCAGAGTACATAAGACATATGAAATAAGATCACTTTATTAATCATGATTTTAAAATATAATCTCATGAAAATTGTTTTTCTTGGCAGGACAAAAATATAAAAAATTAATTTAAAACTTGACCACAAGCAAAAAATACATGAAGAATATACAATATAACAACTAAAGAAAGATGATGACAAAACTGTACCACTTGCAAAAACCCTTACTTAACTTTGCCCAATTAAATTTATGTATTCTTATTATTGTAATTATTATTTTATTATTCATAAGTATTCAATCATTAAAAAGTCATCCACCCCCTTACTATAATGGCTAGAAAACTTGCAAAATGCTTCAGACGGCTACGCTCAATAATCAAATCTATATGATAACTCATTTATTTTTCCCAACCATGATTTGGTTACGCAAAATGATGCGTTTATTAGGGCTAACCACTGGACGATAACATCAGCAGTCTGTTACGATACACTTTAGAGCTGATGAGACCAAAGATCTATATAAAAACGACAATAACAAATACTATAGTTAGTAAATAGAGATGTGAGAGTAAAGATAATTTTCAAACATAGAACGCTTCAGATGCATCATGGAGGTATAAAAAAGTGCATCAAGTACGTTTTAAGCTCATTTCAAAAATGGTTGAGATCTATCAGACATAGTGCCCAATATAAAAATAGGATGTATTCCTAAATGAATGTATTGATTGAATATTATCGACGCTGTCGAATGAAATGAAACCAGTAAATAAATAAATAATAGGCCTAAAGCTATCTTTGTGAATGGGGTAACAGTCGTTTATGCCCAGTCGTAAGATTTAAGTGATTGACACTTAATGTAATGTATTACGATAATCGAATTTTTTTGTTAGCGGCGTTTGGTTTTTGTAAACGTATCGCCTTCTTCCTCATTCGTTGTCTGAGGTGGTAATATTTTTAAATGTGTCAGGTAGGCGGGTCCTTTTTTACTACGGGGACCCAATTTCTTTTTCGCGGACCCACTAAATGGTCCGCGAACACCAGGTTTGGAGTCACTGATTTTTAAGATATAGAAATATGCAATGAATGTCATATTTGTTTATTACATCAACCCACCTGTGTGATCAAGGTTCCACTGGATGCTCCGATTATCACATTTAATTTTTCTTTCAAAGTATTTACTGCTTTGCTGTAGCAGCCCTAAATAGATACAAAATATTATTTTTACGGAATCCTAATCATTAGCTTGCGGAAATTATTGCTGTGTGGAAGCCTGTGGCAGAGCGGTTATTTAATGCTTTGGACGTGAAGTCATGGTTCGAGATCGACGCTTGTCACATTGCTTGTGTCGAGAATTCCTTGTCTTAGGGCAAGAACATTTAACTACACTGTTCTCATTTCGCACGGTGGTACCTAGTAGATGTGGATTCTTTGGATTAAAGTAGGCACGCATACCTTTAAAAAGCGGAGGAGATTGCACGTTGTGTATGATTGATTCTGTATCAAAAATCCCTAGGGAGAAAGCGCATTTATCAGCTATTCTGGGTAGGCATATGTGAGCTATATAAATCCTATTAAATAATTGAATAAATATATTACGCCCCATTACCTAATCATCGAGCCTCCACTTCATCTTCGCACCCCTTTCCCACCATCAGCCCCTATTTTAAGATTCCTAGATACGCCACTGTGAAGGAAGTGACAAAATTAGTAGGCCTACGCTCGAATGAGTGTTTGAAGTTCAGTAAATTATAAGCAGGCTTAAACAGTAAGATTAGGTACCATTCGCAAGCCACCTTATAACTGACGCTGTGCGTCTCAATCTGTGGGTCTTTCCTATAATTCCACCTTATGTCTATTCTCACGTTTGAGAATTTAGTTTATAGTCCTACACGTTTGAAGTCATTAGGCGGTCGGCTTTCCACACCAGAGCCACCCTATATTTCAATTTTGTTTTGCTCTTCTGTGGCATTGCACTCAATCTTTATGTAATTTATTTTGGTGTTTTTTGTTTGTTTTTTTTTTTTGCTTACCGAAATGAATTTTTTAAAATAGTCCTAACATTACTGACCACTTATATGTGCCTTTGCTTATTTCATACAAGCACAGGTAATTTAGTTTCACTTATTAGGATCTGTCCAACTTACCTCAGCGTTTGTTTTTTTAAGTTTAATATCAATAGGTAAACCTGAGCAGTCGTTTTCATTCTTTTTACAGCAACTATTAGGTACATGGCCTTGGTGTGCCTTACCCCATGGGGTTATTTTCCAGTCAGCACTACTGTTAACTCCACAACACTGAAACTAGAAATACGAAATATATGTATTATCAATTAACAGCACTGAACAGGTCTTCATCCAAGTAAAGACTACTTTTGGAACCGAGGTTTTCCTGGTTTCTAGCAGATTTGGTCTCTAATTAGATAAAGCATAGGTGTATATTTAGGACTTCAGAAATGTGGTCTTCACTTGGTGGTTTGTAATTGGAGGGAGACTTGTATTTGATGTTTGATAATAGCAAAGATTAGTAGCAGAAGATAGAGCAGCTTCCCAAAATAGTAGAACATCCAGTCGAAATGCATTGTGGGTACACGGAGAAATATTTTACTGCATCCTTGCGGCGGCGCTATATAGTAATAATAAAGGCACAGCTCTGGTTCGTTTGTTTCCTGTGGTTTCTCCACTTAGTAAAATGTTCAAAACGCAGGAGGGCGGATGTTCCATCGATTTTAATGCAAATACGCGGAACAGCTCATTCTTCTGCTATTTAAGTTCTTTGATAACAGATAATCGTTGTGCACTTTAAGAAACAATCAAACAATAATTATTGTGATTAATAACAATAGGCATAAAAATGGCTTAATAATTATGATAAAATATATATTCATTAAAAAACTAAATATTCATCATAACTCACGTTTTCTTGGATTATGTCAATAGTGTATTGAACAGTAGCATTTTCTGGATGATAATAACTTAAAAACCTTCTCATATCACTAACGATTCTGTCATTCACCTTAAAATAAATTAGTTTAAAACAAGAATTCAGAAGTTAGTTTCATTTAATTTCTTTAAGCACGAGCTCAAAGGATATGCCAAACAGTCAACTTTATCACTATCCGATGTGGTATATCCGCAGGGGACAGGGCACTGAATGGACCAATACACCGGGAAACCCTGTACTTTTCTCGAAGAATGTACTGGGTTCTTTAAAGTGCACACGAGACAAATGCGTACACTCGGCCTACGGTTTAAAGTCCTTATCCGAGAAGACTTGTTCCACCACTGGAACCATTGGTGAGCAAGCCGTTTGAACCAGAACCGCTATTATAGCTGAAGGTTACCGTGCCACTGACTTTTAATCAAATAAATAATCAATTTAGATATAACTTCACTGACATGATTTTTTGGATGATAACAATCAAATAACAATAATAGAATAATATTACAGGGGCGGAAATAGGTTCACATTTAGGGAGGGGGCGGGTGGTGGGTGGGGTCAGAATTATTATCATAAAAACACCAAAAAAGGGGTCCGGTGGTCCTCCCCTGGAAATATTTTTCAAAAGTCAAGGTTTTCCCCCTCTTGAAAACGGTCAGGTAAACTTTCTTATTCTTATTACAGTGAATAGGCCTATTTATGTGTGTGTGTGTATACGTACATTAAAAAAAATTGAGTTGCTTTAAACGGATTCTTTTTTTCCATGAATGGGTTACCACCAATGAAGAAGGGGGGGGGGGAATCCGGGGTCCTCACAGGGAAAAGTTTGATCACTAGATGGCAGGAAATGAGCTTTCCCGACTTCTGAGGTGTCTTTTAATGACTTTTAAGTTCTTTAAATTTTAAGGTTTTCCTGCGCTTGAAAACTGTAAATAATAGCCCTACGGGAAAAGTTTAGTTCTTAGATGGCGATAAATGAGTTTTCCCGACTTCTGAAGTGTCTTTTATTAAAAATTCAAGGTTTTCCCTTTTTGTAAACGGTTAGGTAATTTTTTATCATTCTTATTACAGTAAATAGGCCTATGTATTTACCGGTACACAGAGATTTTTCCCCAAGGGGGGGGGGTTCAGGACACCCTGACCCCCTCAAATCCGCCAATGAATATTATATATCTGTCTTAAAGGTGTTCATGGCGACTATACATAATAAAATAATTAAAATTTCGGTAAAGCACGTATAAGAATGGTTTTTGAGATAAAACCACTGGTTGATAATTGTTTCGATGTTTCGGTGAAACAACAGAATGAGCAAAGATTACTTACAATGTGTGAAGCATTGGTGTAACACCTATACCCTCGATCTATCACCCAGACAAAAAAGGACTTTTATAATGTGCCTGAAATCGATTGCAGGGCATATCATATTATTGAGTGCATAAAAATTCCACCCTCATTGGCGCGGATCCAATGGGGTGGGGGCACTTGTCCACCTCCCAGTCTTCAGAAGTTGAAAAAAAAAAATAAAACGGATTACTGATTGGCAAGAGTGCTATAGTTTTGCTGTCCAGACAACAAAAACGCTTCTTATTAGAAACTACTGTAGGTGATACTTTTGTACCTAATACTAATAGAAACACTGGCAGACCACTGATCTCTACTTTAATAGCTATTTTATAACAGAGATCAGTGGGCGGAAAAGAAGTGTCTTTGTCAGGCATATTACAATCGATTTTTTCCTAACCCCCACGCGCAAAAAAACCCACGCGTACTATTAATTCGGTGCAATTATCCGGTACCCTGTTCACCATACAAATTGCGGATAGCCAATAGTTCAAAATTATAATAAGAAAGAGAAAAACAGAAAATTATATTCAATTTTAAGTCTGAGAGAGCAATTTTCGGCCATCTAGCCCCCCCCCCCCCGGGTCCCCCG